CAATTTTAAAAAGTACTTTTGTTCAAACTTACTATTGTCGAGATATGACCCTGAATGTGATAACATAATTTCAAATCGTCTTCACCAGTCTAAGTTAGCTTTATTTATGATTAAATAAATGACAGTCAGTATAATGTTAGCTTTTTAAAAAAAAAAAAACAAGTTTACGTTCTAGCTTAATTTTTTTTTCTTTACTTGCCCAACTTATACCGTTAGCAACAAACAATAAATAATTGTTATAAAATGTTGTTTGAATTGTACCCTGGTCTTCCACCATAAACAGAGTTTTACGTTTCACCCGTTTTTATTTTTTAAAGTAACATTCTCTCTTTCCAGCGGCAAACTCTAAACCTCTGACGTTTGATGAAGTTTACAATCAATCCAGCCCTAACAACTGTACTGTCTACTGTGGAGGTATAAACCAAGGACTCACTGGTCAGTGACGGAGCTGTTGCTTTTTCAACAATATAATTAATTGTAAAAGTTCAGTTCATAATGACCAATTGATAGAATTATTTCAAAGAAGAAAAAAAATCTTGGTCATCGTAAATAGCAACTCAAGAGTATAGCTATCTCTATTCAAGATTTGATAATTTTAGCCAGGGGCGATTAGTGGAATTTTCTAACCAATTAATCGTTGGCCTCATTAATCGATTCCTTCAACAGACAGGTTTATTCTCGCGAGACAGCCAAAAATTCCACCATTATTCTCCAATTGGATGGCTAAGAAAAAACCTTGTATGCTAAAAACGATTTTTTTTTATATATACCTGTGGTGTGTAGAGTCTAGACAGCTCACTGTGTACCTTTGTGCTTAACAACCAAACAAACATAACAGCGACATTTGGATTAATCACAGACATTAAATTAATTGAAACATCATCCCGACGATGAATGAATTATTTTGTTCGACATTGATTAATGTAGGTTTTGCTTATAAGAGTTTGATCGTTCATCTAAAGTGAAATTGGTATTTTTAAAGAATAAAAATTAAAATAATAGATCATGATACGTGAAACAGAAGAAATAACGTCAATTAAGTATCGTAATCCACTCGGGTTTCATCAACGGAACTTGATTGAATGATGTAGAAATCTTACATAGGACTTGAAACTTATGTTATTTTCACCCAAGGGTATGCTTGGTGTTTGTGTTGCGTGTTTAGAAAGAAAAAAAAAGTTTAATGACAGAAATATTTAATAAAACATATTTAACCTAAAAATAAGAATTCGGTTAAACCACAGAAACACTTTTGTTGTTGTGAATGTTGGTCACTCCCTCTACTGGCCAGAATGCACAAAGTGAAAACGTAAATTTCTCGTCCATATGTGTACTAATAAGCAAAAAAAAAAAGACTGTGGTAGTACGAACAATTACATGTTCTTCTGTACCTGATGCCAGGTTCTACTGAAGGAGTGTGGGTCCTTATCGGAGTGGCCTTCTCGTAGTATACATTTTATAAGGATCTTGTTAAAGTCTAACAGATTTGAGATGTTTTTTTTTTCCTCGGGGGCCTAATCTATTTAGGACTCATTTTATTTACTTGGTCCCCTGCATTTCGACACCTTTTTATTTGCCTTTGTTTCTTTACGAGACTTTTTAAATTTAATATTGAATTATTTCTAGTGGTTGGTTCTGTTCGAAATGTTTACCTGTCAGACAATATTTAGTTTAAAAAACATCTTGTACACTAACAGAACCTTTTCTGTTTTCTTTTTTGGATTTGTAGATGAACTTATGCACAAAACATTCATAACCTACGGTCCAATCCAGGAAATACGAGTGTTTAAGGATAAGGGTTACGCATTTATCAGGTCAGTCCAATTTAAATAACTAGTTGTTTTGATATTTAAGTGTGTAAGGTGTGATATATCATATCAAAAATTTATTTTCTTCATTTATATTACTACTAACAATAGAAATGTATAAGCAGGGTGGTCATTTATCTTTTG